CAATCCTTTATATAATTGTTGATTTCACAGTTATAAGACGGGTCAATTCATTTTCATTTTATTTTCATAAAAAATAACTTATGATTATAATTTTGCATGCTAATTATTCCCGTATATTTCCATTTTTTTACCTAATGAAATTAAATATTTTCTATATTTCATATATATTTTTTTAATTTCAGAAGAATTCATTCGAATGCGGTTTACGAGTTCTACCATATTTCTACTGGTTTTGTATTGCTTTCAATACATTTGCCGTGAGCTTTCAAGGGTCTAAGGGTTTGTTCATTTCTTCATTTAAAGAAATGATTTATCAATTTAAATCTTCAAAATTTTGTTTTTTTTTTAATTTTTTATCTAATTTCTTGTTTGAAAATTTTTAACAATGTTAAAATAAAATTTTTCAATGCATTATTTTCTTTGTAAATCACTCATACTAGCTCATCCTATTCATAATTTCAAGCTTAATCAGTAAGCATGCTTGGTTCAATCCTGAAATAGAACTTATTGGCTTAGCAGTTTTGGTCTGTTAATTTATAAATTTCATTAAGCATTGTCAAATTTCAGTCTTACATCTAGCCAGTCTGCCTTTCTGGTTGTGTTTGTTGATTAGTATTGTAATGGCTACGGTTGGTGCATTTGCTGTCCGTTTTTTTATGGTACCACGATTAAGAAAATGGATTGATAGTAAGTTTTTTTTTTTTTACCAAGGTCTAAAATTCATTAGTATTCTTTGTGAATTTCAATTGCGAATTTAATATTTGAGTTTATGATAAATTTTCATTTCTTCTTGATTGTAATTTCCAAATTTTCAAATGTTGCTCATAACTTCAGTATTTTTATCAGTTCAAAAATTCTGGCTTTTATAACATTAGTAAGTATGATTGTTGATTAGTAGTTTTTTCTTTTTGCAGAAAAAGAAGCCGGAAGAATCGATCGATCTGCTTCAATTGACCTTCCCAGTGTTACGGGAGAAGTTCCAATGAAAATTAAACGTATCTTCTTCGATCATTTCATTTATATTATATTTTCGTTTTATTTCTCATATAATTTACCAGAAATTATTTGAATAGGAAATGATAAGTGCTAAGCTTAAAAGTGCTTAGATATTATTCGGAATTCAAACAGTAATGCTTTTCTGTTAGCATGGAAAAAAATGCAAAAAGTAACATCAGATTTTCAAATTTGAATTTTAGAATGATTAGAGAGGGAATGATATTGCAACATTTCATTTATTTTGTTAGATTATATCTATAAAAACAAATATCAATACCGAAAGATTCCGGTTTGATTCCTTCAAGTTAAATTTTCAGGTGGAATTTTACAAATTTACATCCCACACAATAATGGTTTATCTCCGGAAGAAGCGAATAATAATAAAATGATAATCAAAAAAGAGCGCTCAATTTCAGGTATATTCATGAAAATATATGCTTATCTCTTTTAGCACTTTTTTTTTTAACTTTTCTTTTTCATTTTCATTTTTTCTTAGCTATAAAACATTTTGTACGATGGTTTCTACCGGATAAGAAACATCAATCGGATCCGAAAACTACGCTTGTTTTCGGTTCCATTCAAGCGTTTACAGCATGTTTCGCTGGTTTCGCTCATGGAGCAAATGATGTTGCGTAAGTGAATTTGATCAAAGTTAATGGCAGAAATAAACTTTTAAATTTTAATAATGTTAATGCTAAATTAAAACTCATCCAGACTAAAATTTGCATTCTAAAAAAAAAAAAATTTTCGAAGGGATATTTTCATATTTAGCTGTTAATAGGAAATGAAACATTATAAATAAAGCAATTTCATTCATCTAAAATTTTGCATTAAAGGTTCAGAGAAGATGACATTACTTTTTTTTTTTTTTTGTTTTCCAGAAATGCAATAGCACCGCTTGCAGCGCTTTTGTCAATTTACTCTGAAATGGATGTGCAACAAAAAAAGGAAACATCACTTTATGTTTTAATGTACGGTGTATTAGCAATATGTGTTGGACTACTGGTACTTGGACATAAGGTCATTCGTACCGTTGGCTCTGAAATGTCGGATATTAATCCTGCTAGGTTAGAGTCTTTTTTTTTTTGTTCTTATTAATAAAATGAGCTTATTAATTTTAGTTAATTTTTGGACAAAATCTCTATG